TCAGAAAAGGAGGCAGGCTATTACTATTATTAACTATTATTTGCTGGTGATGCAATGACATAAAACTTACCCATAAATATTCATGTCAATTTTGTTTATAAAACAATCAAAAAGTAAAGACAATTAAAATGTCTTTAAAAAAAGTAAATAGTTAAATCCACTGTGGTTCAACCATACTATGAAATACTACTCAGCAATAAAAAGGAACAAACCATTTATACATACATATTTATACATACTAGGATGGATCTCAAGGGCACTCTGCTGAGTTAAAAAAAAAAAAAATCCTATCTCAAAAGGCCAACCACCGGAGGGTATTAGTTTCTGAGGTTTAGAAGGGAAATTTATGGTATTCTCCAATGACAAGATTATAAAGAATGGATTAGTGACTGTCAGGGGTTAGAGAAGGTGGAGGAAGAAGAGTGAGTGTGACAATAAGAGGCTATGTGTTGGATGTGCTTGTGGAGTAATTATGAATCTTATGACAGCTACACAAATATTCATGTGCTAAAATGGTACAGAACTATTACATACATTGCACCAGAATCAATTTCCTGACTTTGATCGCTCTACATGGCTACATAAGGGTACACAGTACTATTTTTGTGACTTCTTATGAATATAGAATTATCTCCAAAAGTTTTTAAAATTAAATGTAGACATTTGTGATGAACATTTTCTAAGCCCTCCTTACCTAATCAGACTCAACGGAAAGGAATATTTTCTTGAGGACATGTAATTATGAACACAGAAGTCTGAACCTAATGGTAACATATAAATGCTCGGTTGTCTGCTCCTACTCTGTGGTCAGGGTCAACCAACTGTGATAGGCTCTATCCACAGCAGCAAAAGGCTAATAGCCCTGGCCAAGTTTCTAGCAGCATGCACACTGGGAGGGGTGACACCCACGCCCATACTTCTTAGGGAAGCACTTCTTGGAGGCAGGATGATGTAGGAGTTAGAAGTGTGGCTCTTGAGCCATATAGCCTGGTCACAACATCTGTGTGCCTTTAACTGCTGTATGTCCTTATGTTTCTCATAGATTCATTGTAAGGAATGCTTTGGAGGACCTGGAAGACTGGTGGCAAGAATTTCTTGGAAAGTACTCCAAATTCCACAAAACTCAAAGACATGGATCTATCAGATTTTAGCATCTACCGTAGAACCATCACTGCACTAAGCTGAACATTTTTTTCAAATTTCTTGCTCAACAAACTCACTTGAGTTACATTCTTCAGATGTGGACTGAGATTACATGGAGATGCCCAAGTTCTGCCCCTTTATCCTACCTAGACACCTTAGAACACAGCTTCCCTGCCTCCATCTCTGTCAGGTTTAGAGCTTCACAGAGCAAACCTACCTAATCAAACTGAGGTCACACCTTTATTGTGCATCTCAATTGCAAACACCCATGTTTGAGTAGAGTCTCTCCCCAGTGCCACACACAGTTGTGCTATAGTGGTGGCCATAGAAGGGATGATTTTTAATATTTCACATGAAAATCTTCTTTTAAGAATTGAGAGCCAGAAACAATCACTCTTCCACACCATGAATGGCCATGCTTCCTTCTCTCAGAACTTGTAGGCTTATTTTTCTATGGACTTCTTTGTGATGAAAACCAGTATCACTCCTATAAACATTAGTCTCCTGCCATCATTATTTTTACTGCTCTTTACAATTATAATTTCTATTTTCATTTTAACATCTTGACTGATTGCACAACTCTTAATCTAAGGCGACTATAATTCCCTAAACTGGAGAAATCTAGCAACTACAGAAGACAAGGAAAATCCTCTTAGCACTAGCATTCTGGAAACAATAATATGTTTATTTGTATCATGTTTTTTTCTATTATTTCTTTTAATGATAAATAAAATATCATTAAAAATTTTTAGATAAGCAGAATCATGACCCCACTGTAACATGATTTATATACTCATTTTGTATATTCTCCTCAGTCATTATCCATTTATATAAATATTTATTTAAATAATCATGAACAAATTTTAAATACCAATGTAAAGATCTACTTGATATCATAAGTGTAAATGTTACATTTAAATTTATCTCATGGCTTTCCAATCATGATTTTTAAATGGCTTGTATTCCAACAAGTTGGAGGTATCAAATTTACAATACTTTTTTTGTGTGTGTCAGCAGAGTAGCTTTAAAACTTAGAGTGCATAATTCCCATTTCTAGTTTACATCCTAAGGGATTCCATTTAATACAATGTATGCCTCTGTTTGAAAAGTTGCCATTCCAAGCCTATGATTTTGCTTCTCTGGTAACTGAAGGAAAAAAATAAGAAAAAACAAATTGCCCCTAAACTACTTTACAATAGAAGCATAATTTATCTGTGCACCGCACCCTCTTCTAAGACTCCCACCAAGGAGTATGTCATAGCCAGGGGATGATGCAGTAGTTAGCATCCAAATGTGGGTTGAGAGCATATCCCTGTGGCAGCCTGTCAGCCACACACTACCTGTAGATAAATCCCTGCTGCCTCAAGCCTGAGCCAGGGAGTACAGTCTCTTTCTTCTAAGGTCTTTCTTCATTCCCCTTAAAAACCTTTCATGTTTCCTCTTTTAAGGGTTACCTTCTGACACTTTAAGAGTCCTTTCTATTTTCATCAGCACTTTTTTTCATTTATTTGATCACCTTTCACATCTTTTCTTATTTCCTTCATATTTTTCTTTCCTCCCCACTTTGTTCTCAACCGCTCTATTTTGAAAGTCCACTGCACCTCTATTCTTCACACCATTTTTAATTATTTGACATTTCTTTCACCTTCAAGACTCTAAAATACACTCATTCTCATTATATTTCTTCTAATTATTCCAAGTTTTTCTGCTTTTTCTTTTCCTGGAGGCACTGAAGTGTAGCAGCTCGTAGTACTGATGCCAGTTGCTAGGGTTCAAACCCAGCTCTGGGCTACATACCAGATATAGGAGCCTGGATATGTTACCTAACCTTTCCACACCTCAGCTCCTATTAGTATGTTCTAAAATTTGTACCTACAGTTTTATCTAATCAGTTTTGGTAAGATATACAGGCACAGAAATGAAGGAAGAAGTCTGTATTCTTCTAGGACTAGGAAGCAAGACACAGCATGCAAAGTCATAGAGGAAAGCACCAAGGACAGTCAGGAGACAAAAGGAGAAAGCCTGGGCCAGAGTATTTCTTATGTTTTCTGCAAGAAAAGCAAAGCAGGACAGGGTAAACAGCTCAGCTTAATTGGCAAGTGTGAATAATTCTGGTGGGCTTTGAGGCATAGAGACTGTCCCTAGTTGTCTGGTCACTGACCCTGGGTTGATTTAGGGCAGGTAAAATACTGGCTTGGTGTGTGAAAGTCTGATACAAGAGATGGTTGGGGTGAGGGTCCTGGCTTGATTAATTGGTATAAAAGTATGCTCCTTTGCTATCTCTAAGGTTTGGCTAGCCCTGGGAGGGACATGTAAGATGCCTAGGCTGGAGTATCTGAGAGATTAGATAGATAGATAGATAGATACATAGATACATAGATACATAGATAGAGGTAGGTAGGTAGATAGATATAGATATATAAAATCACAATATCTCAGAAGGAAAAATATGGTCTCATAGTCACTATGTTTGTATTTGAATAAACTAATGGTTTTTTAGTCATCATTTTCCATTCCAAATTCTTTAAAAAGGACATTTAATTGTCCCTGAACAATCCAAGCTGGTTTTGGCTAATGGAGCAGATAACGTTGTAGAAAAAAATAGTACTCCTAAGAACCACCACTGTGGATCAGGCTGTGGGAAAATATTTAAAGTAGAGAAGTCATCACTACTGGGCTTCATAGAAGGACACTGTCTTACTCAGTTCAGGATGCTATAACAAAGTACCATAAATCAGTTGGCAGATAGACAACAGAAATTTATTTCTCACTATTCCTGAGGCCAGAATTCTAAGATTGGGGTGGCAGCATGCAAGATTCTGGTAAGGATTCTCTTTTAAATTACATACTACTGATTTCTTGCATCTTCACATAGCAGAAAGAGATCAAATAGACCTCCAAGGATTTTTTTAAAATGACACTAATCCCGTTAATTAGAACTCCTTATGACATAATTGTCTCCCAAAATTTTTTTTCTTTTCTTTTTTTTTCTTTTTATGAGAGAGAGAGAGCTGGGGGGATGGTCTCACTAAATTGCTCAGGGCCTTGCTGACTTGCTGATGCTGGCTTTGAACTTGCAATCCTCCTGCCTCAGCCTCCCAAATCACTGGGATTACAGGCATGCACCACCACACCTGGCCCTCAATATATGAATTTTTGAATTTTTGAGGGACACAATATTCATTCAATGACATCCTACGTATAAAATACTGAAAAGAGTTGTCAAATTCTTGACAGATATGTAATTATAGAAATTTGCATCCCAGGGACAGGCACTGACTGTAAGAGCCTTATCCAACAAGGCCTACTTAGCAAAGATCTCTATGGAAACATCTGTTTGAATCATTCTTTCAGTGATTCCCTCCTGTTAGAAAGGTAAATTCACAAAAGCGGAAACCTAGAAGCTGGGTTGGCACTGAGAGATTGGTGTTGCTAACCAGATTCCGTGTAAATGTGGCAAACAGATTCTCTACCCTAGTAATTTGGAACAACTAAACAGGTGCCACCTAGAAAACTAAATCTGCCCAATGTAATTATGTTAATTAACATTTCCTAGAGATTCCTTGCAAGGTCCATCTAGGCCTGCCCCCAGTCCTATACTTCTAATTCAAAAGTTGTGTTCATCTAAACAATGAACATCACTAAAAAGTGAGTTTAGATAGGGATACCTACAGCTGAGTGGATCTGGCCCAAGGGAAATACCAAACAAAGTGGAGGACAGACTGGGAGTCTGCCCACCTGCAGTTTGTTTCAATCAGAGCCAGATGGGCTGTGGGTGGAAATCCTTCCAACTGCTACAGACTTCAGCCAAAGCTTTAAATTCAGAGTGAACTGGATATGGGCTAGTGCCATGTAAAATGGAGATTGAGTTGCCTGATGTGCCCTTGGTGAAAATCTTCTCCTATCTGGATGCCTTGAGCTTGCTACAGGCTTCGCAAGTGAGCAAGGTAAAGGCTCCAGTCTCTCTACTGCTTTGACAGAATTGACCAGCTTCCTGCCCACACTCCTCTACCTTGTCAGACCCCTTCCACCTCTCAGCCTCAGCCATGGATCTTGGCTACCCCAGCATTACACCCACACAGCCTTCCTTCATTCCTTAAGTTTACTTTGTTCAGATCCACCCACTTAGCTCTGATACCAGTATCCCTAGAATCCATTCACTTCTCTTAACCAGTTGTGCATCAGTTTGCAGAATAGCAAAATACTTTGAGGGTTTGGGGGTAGTCCTCATTCACTGAGTGCCTCACATTCTGTTAAATGGAAAGGATAAGCTGATACACAGGACTTATTTTGACTAAATGATCCTTGAGGTTCCTATTTCAAGTCCTAGAAAATCACTTCTTCCTCAGAACTCTCACAGGAATATGGAGTGCCTGGATTAGCAATGATAGGTCTCTGCTGTTCCTACTTCCCTCTCTCCAGACTGGGAAGGCATTGAGAGCTGGGATTGTGTCAGATTAATCTTTGTGGGTCCAGGCCCGAGAATAAATGCAAGCAGAAGAGAAGCCAATGTTTGTGTATTGATTGCTTATCCATTGCCTTCTCTCTCATATTGGAATAAGGTTGCAGAAAGTGATTTGCTATGGAGGTGAGTAAGAAAAGGGGGAGAGTAAGGTGGGAAGGAAAGAGGAGGCCATCTAATTGTGTGTTTGCGCTGTGTACTTTGGTCTGTGTGCATCTGTGTTGTGGGAGGCCCATAGAAAGGTTAGCATGAATATAGGGCTCATATGACAACAGTGGCTCTGAGGAGATGAGCTGAGGGTCACCTGATAGGATTATGACTCCTGTTTCCAGGAGGATGTGTCTAAAGAAATGGCACTTCTGCAACTTCACCTATGAGCACCTGGGCACACAGACATGGAAGCAGTTATTCCTCCACCAAACAAAGCAGGAGCATCGGATGGCATGTGCACAGCCAGAAGACTTTATCTACAAAGAAGCAGCTGGGAACCTTGGTATGCCTTGGAGAAGCATGATAAACTTGTTTTCAGAGGTCTACTCTATTTTTCCCCATATGCAGTTTTGTGTACTCATTCAGTGAAAGGGAAAGGGATTAAAATTTAATGTGCCTGGGTTGCTGTGATAGCCACATCACCAGTGTTCCTGCTTCCTGTGTCTGAACAGAATGAAGGAACCAGAGTGATTGTTTCACAACATAAAATAGGGCTCTACTACTCTCTTTTTCCAAAAGTTTCTACCTGTCCTAGAAAAAATATTTGGGGGGGGAGCGGAATTAATGGATAAACTCCTAAATAGCAAAGGCTCTACTGTTCATTTTATCCCTGATACCTCTTTTAATACTTGTAACAGTTCTCTGAAGAGTTTTTTAAAGAGCATTATAGTTGTACATGGTAGTTGGGTTCATTCTGACAAAACCATATATACAAAGAATTTTATTTTAATCCCCATTCCCCCATCTCTTCTCTTTCTCCCTCCCTCCCCCTATTCTCCTTCCTCTACTCATCTTCCTTTTGTTCATTTATTTATTTGGTTGGTTTTTGGTACTGGGGATTAAACTCAGGGGCATTCAATCACTGAGCCACATCCCCAGCCCTATTTTGTATTTTATTTAGAGACAGGGTCTCACCGAGTTGCTTAGCACCTCACAGTTGCTGAGGCTGGCTTTGAACTCACAATCCTCCTCTCTCAGCCTCCCAAGCCACTGGGATTACAGGCATGTGCTACCACATCCAGCTCATTTATTTTTGATTGGTACTTTCTATATATTCATAAAGGTGAAATTCCCTTTGGTACTTTTATATATGCCTATAACATGATTTTTCAAATTTATTATATATTTTCATGGAGAGATTCTAATATCCATGAATCTATGGATTAATTCTAATACCCATTAATCTATGGAAACAGATTAAAGAGAAAAAGTAAGTTTTCCAATATCTCCTAATCACCAATTACCAATCTATAACAGGACCCCATATTTGACTGACTCTAAAGCCCAGTTTCTGTCTTTTCCATAATTGCTACCCAGAAAAGCTTAAAATTATCTTTATTTGGTTTGAATGATCCCTCTATTATCTGGTGGCCAAGTAGTGTCTATGTTTCCTTCCAGGAATCTTGGGACCAGTGGCTTATGTATCTACTCAGGAAGTAGATTCACACTAGATGAACAAGGGAAGTCAATCATTTGTATTGTGTCTTCAATGCGCAAACTTTATACCTGGGATGTGCAAGAGGTGAGTCAGGCAAAAATAATACATACCTGTGACATGTGAAATAGTGCTGAGAGGAAAATGATACTTGGAGTTGATAACAAAGTTTCAAGACATCTTTTCTTTTTTAAAGTTCATTTTTTGGGGTGGGGGCTGGGGATGTGGCTCAAGCAGTAGCGTGCTTGCCTGGCATGCATGCGGCCCAGGTTTGATCCTCAGCACCACGTACAAACAAAGATGTTGTGTCCGCCGAAAACTAAAAAATAAATATTAAAAATTCTCTCTCTCTCTCTTTAAAAATAATAAAGTTTGTTTTTATTGGTGCATTATAATTATACATAATAGTGGGATTCATTATGCCATATTTGGACATGCACATGACATAATTTGGTCAATCACATTCCCCAGTACTTTCCCTTTCCCTCCCCTCCTTCCTCCTCTGATCTGCTTTCTCTATTCTACTGATCACCCTTCTATTATTATTTTAATTAGTGCATTATAATTATATATAAAAGTGGAATTCATTATGGTGTAATTATATATGGATATATATACACTGATTTGGTAGATTTCATTCCCAGAACTTCCTCATGCCCCACCTCTCACCTTTTCCCCTCCCTAATCCCCTTCTTCTGCTTCACTGGACTCCCTTCTATTTTTATGAGATTTCCCTCTCCCCCGCCCCCACATTTTTTTTTTAATTCTTTCCCTCCCTCTCTTCCCTCTTTCTTTGGAGAGAGATTCTGTCTTTGAGTTTGAGCCTGGCTGATTTCACTTAGCATGATGTTCTTCAGTTCTATCCATTTACCAGCAAATGACATAATTTCATTCTTGTTTATGGCTGAATAAAACTCCATATGTTTTATATATACACACACACACACACATATATATATATGTATATGTATATAAACATCATTTTATTTGTTTAAGGTGTGGATATACTTTATTATTTCAAAGACAAATGGGTTGGACCCAACAGCTTGCTCTTAAATATTAAGCACACATACTTTTTTAGAGTATTATAGTTATATATAATAGTGGAGTTCATTTTGACACATTCATAATATATCATAATTCATAATGACACATTCATAAATTTCTCTCCTCTTCCCTCCCCTCCTTCCTCCCCCTGACTCCCCTTCTCTACTCTATTGGTCTTCCTTCTATTTATTTATTTACTTATTTTGTAATTGGTACATTATAATTATTGTTCTAATTTAGATATGAGATGTCCTCCAAAAGCTCCTATTAATGCAGGAATATTCATAGGTAAAATGATTATGAGACTGTCACCTAATCAGTTCATCCTAGTTTGAATAGACTGACTAGATGGTAACTATAGGTAAGTGGAATGGCCTAGATTAGGTAGGTGGATCACTAGGGGCATGCCCTGGAAGGGTGCATCGTCCCTGTGGTCCCTTCCCCCTCCCTCTCTCTCTCTGCTTCCTCACTTTACAGAGAGTTGTTTAGCTTTTCTCCACTGGGCCCTTCCCCCATGATGTGCTGCCTCACTTTGGGCCCAGAGCCATGAGTTGGCTGCCTGTGGACTGAGACTTCTAAAACCATGAGTCCCACATAAACTTTTCTTCTTCTAAGTTGTTGTCAGGTATTTTGGTCACAATGATGAAAAAGCTAACTAGCCGGATGTGGTGGCACATGCCTATAATCTCAGAGGCTTGGGGGCTGAGGCAGGAGGATCACAAGTTCAAAGCCAGCCTCAGCAATTTAGCAAGGCCCTAAGCAACTTAGCGAGACCCTGTCACTAAATAAAAAAAATTTTAAAAGCCTGGAATGTGGCTCAGTGGTTAAGCAACCCTGTGATCAATCCCCACACACCACACAAAAAAAGAAAGAAAGAAAGAAAAGGAATGCTAACTAAAACAGAATGCATTGTGATATATTCATACATGTGCATAGCATAATGTGGTCAATTTCATATGCCAGTTTCTCCCCTTTTCCTCCTCTCCTCCCTCACCCTTTCTCCCCTGTTTCTATTTTACTGCTCTCCCCTGTTTTCATGAAATATTCTTTCTTATTTCTTTTTTTCCTCTTTAGCTTCCACATATGAGAGAAAAAGTTCCACCCTTGATTTTTGAGCCTGGCTTATTTCACATAACATTATGTTCTCCAGTTCCATTCATTTACCAGCAAATGACATAATTTCATTCTTTATGGTTGAGTAGAACTCCATTTGTGTGTGTGTGTGTTTGTGTGTTTGTATGTGTATGTTTATCCATTAATTGTGTGTGTATGTGTGTGTGTGTGTGTATCCCTTCATCTGCTGATGGACACCTGGGTTGGTTCGATAACTTGGCTATTGTGCCTTGTGCTGCTATAAACATTGATGTGCATATATCACTATAGTATGCTGATTTTTAGTTCTTTTGGATAAATGCCAAGGAGTGAGATAGCTGGTTGTTCCATTCCTCGTCTCTATTCAGCTTTCCAAAGTGATTGCACCAACAATGCATAAAAGTATCTTTTTCCAGCCAAGTACCGTGGTGCACACCTATATTCCCAGCAGCTCAGAAGGCTGAGGTAGGAGGATCACAAGTTCAAAGCCAGCCTCAGCAAAAGCAAGGAACTAAGCAACTCAGTGAGACCCTATCTCAAAATAAAATACAATATAGGGCTGGGGATGTGGCTCAGGGTTTGAATGCCCCTAAGTTCAATCCTTAATACTCACCCGCCAAAAAGTATCTTTTTCCATGGATGAGAGGGTAATATGGTATGATATCCATCACCACATTGATTGCCAGGGTTGATTTGACTGATCTGGCTGGCTAAGCAGGTGTTCCCTTCCTTTCCCCAACACTTGTTTTTATCACATTTTTCAAGAATCAGTTGGCTGTAAATGCATGGAATTATCTGGGTTCTCTATTCTGTTCCCTTGGTGTATGTATCTGTTTTTATGCCAATACTTGGGTTTTTTTTATTGTTTGGTTTGGGTTGGGTTGGGTTTTATTTGGTTTGATTTTGTTATTGTTGTTTTGGTACTATGGCTCTGTAGTATGTCTTGAAATCAGGTATTGTGTGATCTCCAGCAGTTCTCTTTTCACACAAGATTGCTTTGACTATTGTGGGTCTTTTATTCTTCCAGATGAATTTTAGTATTGTATTTTCGGGTTCTGTGAAGAATGTCATTGGTATTTTGATGGGAAGCATTGAATCTGTAGATTACTTTGGGTAGTATAGGCACTTTAGCAATAATAATTCTTCCAAACCATGAAGTTTTTCCATCTTTTAATGTCTTCATCTTCAATTTGTTTCTTCCATGTCTTAAAATTTTTCGTGCCTGGCTATTGTGAATGGGATTGCTTTCATGATTTCTTTCTCAGCAAATTGATATATATTGGTATATGGACAAGCTACTGATTTCTATGTTGATTTTGTATCCTCCTACTTTACTGAATTTATCAGTTGTAATGGTCTTTTGGTGGAGTCTTCAGGTGTGTATTTGTGTAGAATCATATCATCCACAATCGGGGATAATTTGACTTCCTCCTTTCCTATTTATATGTCTTTTATTTCTTTCTCTTGCCTAATTGCTCTAAAATTTCTAGTACTATGTTAAATAAGAATACTAAGAGTGGACACCCTTGTCTTATTCCTTAAATAAACAAGTTTTACCCCATTCAGTATAATGTTGGCTATAAGCTTGTCATATATAGTGCTTACTATGTTGAAGTATGATTCTTCTCTACCTAATATGTTCAAGGATTTTTATCATGAAAAGATATCAAATTTTATTGAATGCTTTTTTTCTGCATCTATTTAGGTGATCATATGATTTTCATCCTTGATTCTGTTTGTGATGTCTATTAATTTTCATATGTTGAACCATTCTTGATTCATATTAGTTTTCATGAAACCAATTTGACCATGATCTATGATATTTTTGATGTCCTGTTGAGTTTGATTTGCTAGTATTTTGCTGAATATTTTTTCATCTATGTTCATCAAGTATATGTTCTCACAGTTTGAGAAGCATTGTGTTAAATGTTTGGTAAGCCAGGCTCAGTGATGCTCATCTATATTCCCAGTGACTCAGGAAGCCAAGGCAGGAGGATCACAAGTTCAAAGCCAGCTTCAGTAACTTAGTGAAGGCCTAAGTAATTTATATAGCCCTTATTATGTTGAAGTATGCAAGACCCTGTCTCAAATTTTAAAAAATAAAATAAAAAAGGTTGGGGATATGGCTCTGTGTTTAAGCACACCTGTATTCAGTCCCTGGTAGAAAGAAAGAAAGGAAGGAAGGAAGGAAGGAAGGAAGGAAGGAAGGAAGGAAGGAAGGAAGGAAAAGTTAGTTGAATAAGAGGCTAGAGTTGTAGTTCAGCGATAGAGCATTTGCCTAGAATGCACAGGGTCCTAGGTTCAATCCTCAACCCTACCAAAAAAAAAAAAGTTTAGTAAAATTCAATACTGATGCCTTCTGGTCTGGATTTTTCTTTGCTGGAAAACTATACTACTGGATTCAATTTCATTTATTGTCATTGGTCTATTCAGGTTTTTTATAGCTTCTTACTTCAATTTTGGTAAGCCATATAGGTCCATAAATTTGTTTATTTCCTTTAGATTTTCCAATTTTTAGCAGCTTTTCAAAATAATTCCTAATAATCTTTTAAAAGTCCAAATGTCTATAGTATCAGTTGTAATATCTCCTTTTATCTCTAATTTTATTTACTTGGGTCTTCTTATATGATCTCTATCTCTCTAAGATTTGACAAATTTATCTTTTCAAAGAACCAACTCTCTTTCATTGATCCTTTGTATTGTTTTTAGGACTCTATTTCATTTATTTCTACTCCGATCTTTATTATTTCTTTCCTTCTAATTTTGAGTATGTTTTATTCTTGCTTTTCTAAGATCTTGAGATGCATAATTATGTTTACATTTTTATTTTAAATCTTCCTCTTTTTTAATTTAAGCACTCAGTGCTATAAACTTTCCTCTTAGTACTGCTTTTGCTGTAAGACAGGTTTCTGTATATTGTTTCCATTTTCATTTTTTTCAAGGAATTT